AATCTTGTGGGATCTCCATCTGTGGATGTCTTCAAAGGGACACAAGATAAAATTTTGTTGGGAGTCACAAACAGGGAATGGGTTTAGCTGTATTGTGTGCCTTAGGATCTTTATACGACACCATGAAAAACTGATTTAAGAAAATTACTTTTGCTGATATGGAGGACATTATTAATCTCATTTAACCCTTAAAGACACAAACCAAACCCGTCTCACATGCTCACCTATAGGAGGACCTTCTCCACTGACTGCAGGGGACCAGAGGGCCACCTCGGACAACAAAGCTGTCTTCCAGGCTGCTAAAGTTCATCAAGATGAACCCCGCCCTGAAGACAGCCTGTACAGCTCTGCACAGGAGAAGGTTTCTGAGAGCAAAGGGCTTTTATAAAAAGGACCAAGGATAGAGAGGGTAGAAAAATAGAGGCTATAAGCAGGGTCCAGATATTTAGGGAAGTAAGAAAGTTAGTGGAAAAGCTTACCAGGATACACTGGATTCCCCATCACTTGAAGCGTTTTGGTCAGGGAAAGCATTCAGTGAGGGCTTGGTGCCGTGCCAGGTACTCTCACTGGAGAGGTGAAGGTCAAGCTGTGGGGTGATCAGTGGTATTTTTGAAGCAGACTGGACTGGACCGGGAACAATCCCAATTATTTACCACAGTAACAGCCTAGAAACAACTTCCTAGAAGAGACAGGCTTTGCAAGTCACGCTTCTTTCTACTCTCCCCATAATAATTTAAATAATATTCCTCCATTCAGCTGCAAAGCAAGGTGCTTGGCTCTGCTGTCACCCCATCACAACTCAAATTTGAGAATATTTGTGGGCAGCCCCAGCACATAACTCACCTCTGCAGGTCACCTCACGGTTTAGGAACAGAGTGCTCTCTACTGCAAAGGTGCACGTTTTTAAGAGCAGCGCAATATTCATCAAGAGCTGGCCAGTACAAGCAGGCAGTAGCTGCTCTTGTGACATATTTCTAGCATCCTCGCTTCACCCAGCAGTGAAAGAGGCTCTTGAATTATGTTGAGGAGCCACACAGTGAAATTTTGAACCCAGGGGAGAGAGAGAGAGAGAGAGAGAGATGGAGGATGTGAAGCATAATTGCAGGTGGAGGTTGGGAGAAAGTAAATACCATTCGACTTGAAAAAAATAATTTCACACACTAGCAAACAAAAATGAAATTTATAAAGAGTTTATTGGATTGGTAAAATGTAATAAAAAAGCATTTGTGATACTTTTTCTGCAAAGAAAAAAGGCATCTGGCGACTTTGCATATTTATTTTCCCTTACAAAACATTAGAAAAGCATAACTGATAAAAAGGATAACAACTGAAAGAGCAGAGCAAAGAGGAAAATACATCTCAATATAATTGGATAATGCGTAATAAAAATACAGAAAACACATGCTTAAAACAGCTTTCATTCTCTTACTGTAAAAAGTCATTTTACGTGTTGAATAAAAAATATATGCCGGTTGCTCTGAAAATTGCAGTTTAGAAGAGCTGAGAACAAAATATATATATCTATATATATTTATAAATATAGAAAACATGTGTATGCTGCATCTGTCCTCAGAACAAACTGGAATAAATGGTTTTCAATTCATGCACACAAGTTACCAGAGAAAAAAAACTTCATATATTACCTAGCGGACCAATCCTGTAAGGTGCTGGCTGCATTTCCTGAGTGCCCTCAAAGCGCCATGGAAGTAGTCAATGATGGAGACAAGTGGCCTGATGGGATCAGTGAGAAGGGAGGCTACTCAGCAGCAAACAGGAGGTGCGCTCAGCAACTTGCAGGATTCGGGAAAACTCCAATGGCAGCAGGATCAGGCCCCTCACAGACTTGGCTAGTAGTGCTTGTGCTCAGCAAGGGGTAAAACGCTGGTACCCCAAGCTCTGACAGATAGGAAACCAGTCCCAAAAGCTCAAGTAGTATTACTTCCATTGGGATCTGAGGGCATGGAGTGCGCAGCAGAAGGCATCCCTCATATAGGGAACGACTCCCCGTGCCCTTTTCTTGCCCAGATACCTAGGCTAGCGATTCACATTTAAAGGAAGATGCTTCCCATACCACTGAGAGCCTCTGTCTGCTGGCACAGGACAAGAAGCATAGTCAGTCACGCTCCCCTCCCAACTTCAACAAAGGCACAACGCAAAACCTTCTCTATCTCAAGGCTAAACCAACAGCTACCATAAAGCTGAAATACCCCCTCAAACCTGGCGTAGTCATCCACTATGAATTACTGCACATCCAATGAACACCATCATTGGTGAACCCTCGAGCAGACAGGTCTACAGTTGGCAGGGATAGGCCAAAGCATAGCAGCTACACAGGACAAATACGTTCCTGGGGGCACTCCCTCTTTGCAGTCTGGAAGAGCTAAGCCAACCTCCCAGCCCTCAGGGGGTTTGCCACGGGGCATTTAGCCAAGAGGAATCCTTCTGGATTGACCCATGTGTGGTTCAGACCCCCTCATATCAGCCCACAGGTAAAGCCAGTGTGGGAGATGAGGCTCTGAAACATGACAAACCTCTGCTGTTTGTTCTGAGCTGGAAAGTGCCATTATCAAAACTGCAGAATTAGTACTCCTGGTCTCTCATTTGACTAACTGGGCAGAAGGCACTGGAGGCTGCCCTCCAGTCTCTCTAATGGTCCAAAACATAAGCCGTGGCATGGGAAATTATAGGACCCTTAAGGAAGCTGAAGTCTCACCAAGGCAGATTCTGTCTAGCAAGACTGTGAGAAAGTCCAAGCATAAGTTTGCTCTGCCCATACCTCTGCCAATACTCAGCCCCCACACTCCAGAGAGACAGCAGAGGAGGTCACCATGGTGCAGTACTGAGCATCAAAACATCAAACCTTTCCCTTTGCTGTATTTCCAATAAACCTTGCATTTCCTCTCTGACCACAGGAGGGAAAAGTTCCCCAAAACACAGTTTTGGGGATTGAAAGTGAGAGCACATCACACTTTTTAATACAGTAGCACCAATCAAACACGCAGCCTTTGGTTCACCTTCAAATTTTCTCTTCTAACATCATACAAAATAATGAAGAATGGAGAGCTTATGAGAGACAATATTAAGCAAATAAAATCTCCAGATATGAATGACTCTGGAGTTCTGATGAGTTAGAGACGTTTGAGGGGATATACCCAAGTACTGCCGCTACTGACCAGTTGCCTACCAGACAACGAGGTGTGTTAAGCAAGACGACAAGCTGTGCCGATGGGATAAAGCCATTGCATTGCTTATCCCAGTGGAGAACAGATGCTCAAAATTAACGTCTTGCTTCTGTTCTACATCATCCTCATAGTTCCCATCCCTGCTCAGCACTAGGGCTATTTCTCTGCTGCCCATAGAGGAGCACCCAGGTCTCTGAAAAGGCACGTGGTGAAGAAAGTGGAATATGCTTTTTGTAAAGGCAGCTCAGTTAATAGCCTACTCTTCACCTTGCTGGTTGTTCTGCTTAGATGCTTGTCAGGTGCTCAGCTACTTTGGCATTAGGCACGTTAAAAATACAACTTTTTAGGTGGATAAGGCAAAGAACTAGATCACGCTCAGGGGACAAGGCAGAAAGTGTCCATTTGCCAAACTGAAATGGGTTTCCAACACATACAGGGCTGTCAGTAAAGCACAGGCAGATGTAATAAAGTGCCCCAGTTCTGTATTTTCAATGGGTACCATCTCAACATAGTTAAAACGCAAACCACAACCTCCGGCTGTGCATTTCAGTGCAAACTGCTCTTATCTCATACAGCCCTGAATGAAACATTAGCACAAAGCCAGCCTAATTGGAACAGGATCTTCTCCTCCCTCCCTGCAAATCCTGATCATTGCACACAATCCCATAGCTAATGGCAGAGAGAAAATACCTGCTTCTGGCAAAATACTTGCACTAGGAAGGCAGGATCAAGTCCTAGGCTGGACACAGACTCACCATGGGAGCAGCTCCGACTATGGAGAGGACGAAGGGGACCTTGCTTCGTTAGCAGGCCTTCCTTGCTCTCCTGCTGCAGCAGGGTGGCAAGCTGGACCAAGCATTTGCAGAGGAGGTGCTGGGCTCTGGCTCCAGGTTAGGGAACACTTCAGAGGGTGGCATTTCCTTGGCCACCACCAAGGAAGACAATAAAAGCAACAAGAAACTGCACTGAATGGCCATCTCCCTTTCATTTTGAAATCTAAGCACTTTCCCAGACATTCCTCCCATCTAGAATTTGTATTTGTGAAACCTCCCTATAGCAGAACTGGAAAATATTCTGGTTGTATTTTCTGGTCCTAAACTCTAGGTGAGCTTTCCTGAACAGAGCTCCTAACTTTGTTTTAATGGCGCAAACCAAAATGGTTCCACACCATACAGGGACCAGAGCAAGACTAGGACACAACAAATGACAAGTAAAAATAATGACACCAAGAAAAAGCATGTGGTCCTGACTATCAGAAATGCTGAATAAGCAAATGGAACAAAATTAGCATGAGATGTAGGAACAGCCATTAAAAAAAAAAAAATCAGAGCAATTAAACCCTCTATTTTTTGCCACGTTTATTATTTTCACCTCTCTTCTCACAGATGAAATGGGGCAGGCCAGTTCTTTTTCTTATTCAAGGCGGCTTTGCTCTCTGGGCTGTCACGCTGCTGGCACAGACCTGCGGAGACAGGACTTCCCGCACTTCAGGGGAACGCTGAAGTGGGGCTATTTTTTTAAACATCAAACTATTCCTGTTCACCATACACTCTGCTTCCAAAAATAAAACAAGCATCCGAATCTTTAAACAAGCGGATGGACCCTTTAACATTTCATAACAACGTTTTAAACCTGGGGTAGGAGGGATGGGAACAGGAATACATTTTCTTACTTAGGGGAAATAATGAAGAAACCAGTGTTTCTGGGTATGAAATGCTGGGTAATAACAAATCAGAGGTCTGTTGCTGAGCCAGTTCTGCCAGCCAGCCCCTGTGAGACAGAGACAGGGTGTTTTGGTTTTTTTTTTTTTTTTTTTTTTTTTTTTGCACTGATGAACTTAAAATGAAAGGAGGGGCAATACATGGGAAGGAAGAGGGTAGACAGGTACATGGCATGGAAATGACTTGCCTGGAGCAACCACACGAGTAGGCAGAAAAACAGCAAACATAACCTGTTTCCTTATTCCCTTAGCCCTGTTCCCAAAACTAGTTTGGGAATGAATTGGGGGAAAGGGGAGGAGGGAGCAGCAATTTGAACATGGCAGATGCTCCAGTTTAAACCCTATCTTCCCAAAGAGGAACCGAGGGTGGGGGCAGGGGGGATGGCTATTATTAATGTCCTTCCGTATATAGCAAAGCAGACATCCTGCATAATGGCAACACAATACATCAATAATAGCCCAAGAATAGCTTCCTACCGTTTTTTTTCCCCTGACAGTTAGAAACATAAAGAGAAAAATCAAGCTGCTGAGATAAATAGCTGAGTCTCCACCCCCACCTCAAATTGCCTTGGCATATTTTAAGAGATAAATGGTTCTATGAGAAATTTAAATAGCTTTCTCTTTTCATTTTTGGCAGCTGCAGGAACTGGGTCAGGTGTAGAAATTATTAATTTCGAAGCCTGAAAAACCCATGTTTGAAAGTAAGTTTTTTTTCTTTTAAAGCATCAACTTTCTTAGAAGTAGAGTTAGAAAAAAATTAAAAAATAATTGAGGTTTTTTTTTTTTTTAACAGAGGTCAGACCAAAAATAATTAAATAACAGTGCAAGCTGCAGAAAAGGGACAATTTGCATAACAGTTTAATGGACATTAAAAGTATCCGTAGTGGATTGTTAGTATTTTTTTGCATAGAGCATAGTATTTGTATAGTATTTGCACAATGGCTTTCGTTCCTCTTGATCAAACACAGCACTGGAACTATGCCTTGGAAAAAAAAAAAAAAAAAAAAGACTGAGGGGCACCATTCTGTAGTTTTACCCTAACTTTAGTGCATGTTTCCAAAGAGACAAGAGATTACTGCCAGGCTGATGGGCACTGAGTATTTTCACAAGGAGCCCATTTACTCATTGCCAGGTCTCTGGATTGACACCCCAGTGCACTGATCTGCCTGAGGCTGCGCTCGTTGCTGCTCCGAGCTGGTGAACCTGGTACTGAACTACGTGTAAATCACTGCCTTCCTCCTTCCACCCAAATGACTCTTGCTTTACCATTGATACCAGGATTTGTAGCCCAGCTTCTCTGCATGATGCCAAAAGCCCTCTTGTGCCATATGTGGAAGGATCTCTTTGCAACCATAAACCCCTGAATCTTACAGAAAAGAAAGGTCAAATCTTGTAGAAACTACTCTGAACAAAGAAATGCTGATGTATCAACTCCCTCACCAGGCAGTATGCTAGTTATGACCTGTAAAAAGTTCAAATTTCCAGTCCTACAAAGACCTCACGATCTTGAAAGACACGCAGTTGGCATGCAGCCCACTCCGGTGCATGGCTGGGAGAATCCCCCCTATTCCCCATGCTCTGTTCTGTATCCCAAATCAGGTGGATACCTGAGAAGGAGGAGGACTCCCTTGTTTAGACTTGCTGCACCTCTGCAGGGCTCACGGCTTATCCTCTTCTTCCCGTAGTGACCAATCAAAAATTTAAAAGGTGACAAAGACACAGATGTAAATAGAACTGCAGTGCCTAGAAAGCCAGAGCACAGATAGGATCAGAAGACAGACTGTAATTACAGGCCCTGATACTTATTACATAGGCCAGTTGTGCTACACGAGCCTTCGGTGGAAACTTCCTGTGTAATTAATAAAGGAGAAACAGAATACTTTTGCAATCACTTTTCTAGCTTTCACTGTGGGGGTCCAATCCTGCCATCCTGGATTAGCTCTAATCATAGCCAATCTTTCACTGCATAAACTGAAGGCATCTGTTCTGCAAGACTGGAAAAAGAAAAAAAAGAGAAGAAAGAAAAAAGGAAAAAACCCTCATTGCAAACCTACACCATGCAATCAAGAAGGAAAGGAAATCGATCCTGAAAACCCCCACCCAGATTGTAATCTGACAATGTTTTCAAGGCATCTGGCAAAAAGGAAGAAGAAAGAAGAATGCTATGAAATATTTAAAATCCTACTTCTGTCAGGAATACATGAGAGGGGAAAGGTGAGTTTGAAAGGGCTGCATTATTTGTAAGCCAAAACCTGAAAGCACCACGTTTTGCATAGGAGCATGAGATGCCCTTGGCCGAGCCAGAGCGGTCCTGAGAACAAGTACCAGGCGCTGATTCAACAGGGACTGGCATGACAAAGTCAAGCCTGTGTGTGAGCAGGACCAAAGAAGCTGTCCCGCACACTGTGATATGTACCATGGGACGTCAAGTGTAAGGCAAACAAGAGAGTTAGTAATACAGTAAAATAGCTGCGTGTTTGCAGCCCGTAACCGATCCTCCTCATCTAAAGCTTCAATTTTTCAACGGATTTTCAACGGCATGGGAAATAGGGCATCCCCAAGGGAGGATTTCTCCTAAAAGCACTTCTCTTACTGCCGAGACTCTTACAAAGAGGAAAGGGGAAATTACCCTGTGAGATCCGAGATGCACTGAATGGCACTTTGCTTTGCTCCTGGACCCGGGATCTTGCCCTCTCCGTTCTCAAATCCCCACTGGTGTGGAGCACCTTGGCAGAAAGATCTCAGCCAGGCCCAACCACTGGGCTAATCCCAACCTGCATCACAAAAAGCAGGCACAGAAAGAGGCTGGACATGCCCAGCTCTCATAAAAAGGGGAGCAGTCAAGCAGACAGTCAGGAGTTACGCTGCTCGCCTCTGCCTTTGCCTTGGTCACATCCACCTGCCTGCTGTACAGTTCCAGGAGAAACCATAAAAGACTTCAGGACAAGCACCGGGCATACAAATGGGATCAAAATGGTCCTGAAACACTGAAACAAAAGACACTTTGGAACAAAACTGGCACAGCCACAATCCCCACAACGCTTGTGTAAGATAGAAAGAAAGAATCCCTAGAATGTATTTATCAAAAGCCATTTTATGCAGATTTTTCCTTCTGAATATTTAAAACATGGTGAATATTAAACTTCAGAGATTCTTAATACGTTCCAAAGCCCCACGGACCTTTGAAATGCTAGCTCATCAATATGCAACATCTAATCTTGTCAAAAAAAAAAAAGGGGGGGGGGAGAGAAGAAAAGCTATTCATCCTCTGCACATAGAGGTTACAGTGAGAATCCCAAGGAAAAAAAAAAACCTTCCAGCATCTTATGCAATAAGTTAAATTTACTCTGGTTGGGAAAGTTTCACTTTCTGCAAGAGAGAAAGTGCCTGTACGTGCATTGCTGCTGGAAGCTTCTTCTGAAGTGTGAGGCTGAAACTGTGTAGCTGCATTACAGTAAGTAGTTTATTAAAAAAACCAAGGCTTGTGGCTTTGCATCCTGTTCCAGTCCAATGTAGTCTCAGGATCCCCTCTCCAGAGGCCAGCAGACAGTGCGCCACCTAAAAATCCATTCTAGTCCAAAATGCTGTGGTTGAAATGGCTTTGCTTGTTTATAAAGTTTAGTGTTTCATATCGCTTGCATCTGACCTTCAGCAGAAAGAAAAGCTCAGTTAAATTGTGCAAATATGTACCACATGGGAGCAAGGGAAGGCAGCCAAAAATGCTGCACGAGCTTTTGCAGGGCTGCAGCCTTTCAGGAGCACCAGTGAGAGGAACTGGATGAGAGGCCAAATTGATACAGTCTCCAGGCAGGAGCTTAAAACACCATGACATCCAAATTCACAAAGAAAATGTTCTGTTACCGCAACCCCAAATTTCCTGCACATGAAAACAGTGTTTTCTTTCATCTTTAGGAGATGCTCATTCTATAATCCGACATTTAAAAATGAACAAACAAACAGGAGTCAGCTGACAAAGGGTTCTTGCTGGTGAATGGAAGTAGGTCACTGAGTATTTTGCCTTTACGGTCTGGCTTAATATTAGTGTTGTACACAAAACAGTAACAAAGCTGCACTGGAGACAAGGGAAGACTCGAATTTTGTCTTTTCTATGAAAATTAGCATTAATATTCTGCATTAATACGCAATGCCTCCTCAGTACCCCATATCTGGTTATTTAAAAAAACCCCAACCCATGAAGCAAACCACACACTAAATTCAACGACAAAACCCCCTTACTGGTCAGCCTGCACTTAAAGACATCTAAGTATGAGTAATCGGGCAGAGAGGAATTTTCCTGAAGGAACATAAAAGAAAATGAAAGCTCTACATACAAGACCAAATAAAACCTTCTGTCTCTCACGAATGCAAATTCTGGCTGCCCTTTTACACAAACATACTAAAGGAATAAAACTGGAGGAAAAAATAAAAGAGGAAAACCTAATAAATTCATTTTTGGAGAAAAAAATACTTAAAAACAAACTATCCTTCAAACAAATTTCTTCATGATAAATCCCTGCAATCATGTGGTTCTAAATTACATGGTTAAATATGACTGAAAAAGTAAGGCACAATTTCATAATAATTTTAAAAGCAATAATTATAATCATTCTCTTTGATATCCATGTGGCAGGCCACTGATACTATGGATGCACAAAACTACTTGATTAAAGATCTGGAAAAGTTTTTCCGACTACTAGCTAAGACTCACAATACCTCTGTCAAGTAAGTAACATAACATCTTCACTGCAAAGATGAGTGCACGTTGAGCAAATGGAAAAAGTGGGTAAGAGAGCTGCTTGCGGATGAAGGGAGGCAGAGGCAAAGAAGTAGAGACACCCCAAGGGTCATGTTCCGAGCGAGGGACTCTGGCCCCTGGAAATGTAAAGGTAATGCCACCGCCTGGGGCTTCTGTTTCCTTCCTCATTTTCTAAAGAATCTAGGTATAATGAGAAATGTGCACGAACAGCAAAATTTTAAAAAAAGTTTGAACCGAGTGCTCTTGATACCAGTGATCAGCCCCATTGCTTCCATGCGTAACGTGAAGCCAAAGAGAGCAGGAACACATAGCCAGGAGTAAAGCCCAGTGGGGGTTAAGTAGCAACGCTCAGTATTGCAGCCTGCATTTCCACTTAGCTGTAGCCCCACAACCACCTTCTGTGTGCGTGTGAGTGCATGAGCCAGAGCGGTCTGCAAGCGTTTGAGCTTAGTGTTTTTTTAGATCACGGCAGAGAATTTCCAGGCTGACATGAGAGCTGTTCCCAGCATCCACCAGGAAACATACCAAGGTTATGGTTTTTTCCTTAGATTTTTAGATGCTGGGTGAATGTTATAATTTCACAAGTTTAAAGTCTACTCTCTCTCATGCTCCAAATGCCAGTCAGGCAATCGACTGTTGCAAATTCAAAATTGAAATGCTGAAGAAGCCAGGTAGTATTTCTAGAAATATTTAAGGAGAAATGGCATTCCCAAGCCCAGAAGGGTATGTGGAGATGAAGTTCAATCAAGTATCTCTTGATCTTCCCAGCAGTTCCCATAATGTGCTTACATTCTTCAGTAATTTCAGGGGGAAAAAAAAAATACCAACCCAACGAAGAAAATTGCAATTTCTACAGAACAAGACCCTAGCATTGTCCATAGCCAGACACTCCATGGCTTTAAGACAGGAAATAAAAATGAACCCAACAGAAGTAACACTGTTATTTTAAGAAGAGTCACATTATTTGGATTGTTCTAACAAAGGAAACAGTGACTTCAAAGTTAGCAAAACTAGTTAAAAATAGGGAAAAAATATCTTCTGAAATGTTTCAAAGCTTTTTTTATTTCGCCAGGTCCAATACTGAACCATTTCCCAAGAACACATGTGCTTGTGTTTAAATAGAATTTTTATCCAAAGAAGTTTTCAAAATCGTCACAGAAACTCTAATTTACCAGCAGAAGAAACCCAAAACTACAAAAAACTGAGAAGACATGGGTTTTTGAGAAAAGAAAATATTTGCTAAGAATTCTGAAATTTATTTAGATAAAAATTCAACATGGTTTTAATTATAATAGCAAGAAAAGAAACGGTTGTGGATAACATTGCAAAATGAGACAATATGAGATTATCTCATTAAAAATACCGGCCCTTCTGACATCACAGAATTTAGTGTAAAAATTGTGACCAGCTCTCCTGGAAATAGTGTTGTCACAGCTCACTCTTAGTTTATACTTTACTAACCTCTCGATAGTACTCAGTAGTCCCTGCTATCCTTTGGCAACAAACCCTCGGTTACCATCACTAGTGTTTCCTCATGGGAATTTCACCACAGTGAGATTCTTCAGCACATCTCTCCCTGCTCGCCCTGACTTACAGCATCGAAGTCAATATAAGATGTAGTCAACCCAACTCGGAAAACAAATAGCAAATCAACATGATGAACCACCGCAGGAACCGGCTATCAACAGAAAACAGTTACAAACTCAAATCCTTTCTGCGCCATTCAGCTGAAGCACCAGGGTGTCTAACATTTATGTCTGATGCTGGAGGAGGGCAAAGACACAGAATTTCCCTCAAGGACCTTCTCTTGGGTCCTGTTACCCCTTGGCTGCTGGACTTTCTCAAAATCAAAAGGTACCAGGATTTATCAAAACTAAGCTAGGCTTGGCTGACTGTGGCCAGGCAGCAGCCACAAGAGGTTCAAAGAGATTTCAGTATGACTTGTTGCATATTCTCTTCAACAACCGCCCTTTCTCTAAAAGACACTTTTTTCTCATTCTTCTCAGGCACATTTTGCTGATAGGCAGAAAGTCAGCTTAAGGCCTGTGTCTCATGAAAGTCTTGCTCCTGCCATCAGAATGAACGCCGTTGTGTAGAGTTCACTATGATAAACACTTTGGTACTCCCACACCTCTATGATTAAGTCATTACCCAAGTGTTTCACAGCCGTGATAAAAATCTAAGAATTAAAATATTACAAAAACAAAATTAAAGGTGCATTATCTGATAAGCTAAGGCAATGGTGTTGCTTTCTGTTTTTAAAAGCAACATTCAGGCAATGATTAAAATGAGTGACAATAAACCCATCACATTCACAAAATACTGCTGTTAGCCTTGGGGAAACGCTTAAGGATGGGGTTGTAACCAAGGCAACCCAATCTTCTGGAGAAAGTTTAAGTAGACAGTTTTAAAGCCACGGTTCAAAGATACAGTAAATCTGGCTGTAGGGCTACTTGTGACATATGGAAAGTGCCACAGCCACTCGACACGAAGCACTGATCTTGTAATAACTCACCCTCCTGTTGTCCAAATGCTACGTTGGATCAGTCACCAGGTGCCCTCCTGCAGCTGGCATAAGGGCAACACAGGAGACATTCCACGCGTTCTGGGTAATTTGACAGAAATTTGACTGTGCCCCCAATCCTACCCAGATCAAATGTGTATGTCTGGGTGATACAGAATCAGTCTGGTATTAGTGACTGCATATCCATGGCTTATGTCACACCATGCAATGGCTTTAAGCCTGTGCTTAAACAAACCCCATGGGCTTAAGTATTTTGCTAAATTAGAACCTGATCACAGACCCTCCTGGGCCCTGTCTGGCCACACAAATCGTGGGATCAGGCCCTACTTGCCAATAAACGCTAGACAAAGCCAAAGCAGCGTATGCAAAAACTCTGCAGACCTGAAGAGAAAAGTCTGTGTGATCTTCCAATTCTCTCCGAAAGGAACAGTTTGGACATTACCACAGCCACAGAGAATGTGAATTTTTGTCATAGCTAAGAAGTGCACCTTAAGAAAAGCAAGGTCTCTTTGGCAAAAAGACTCCTTCTTTGGAACAGATAAAACAGGATATATTATAAATATGTGATAAATATTGTGATGAAGCAATATCCCAGTGGTTCTTAATTGCAGTACTATTGAGATAAGTCCACCAGCATTTCCTAATTAAATCCTGAAGCATCGGAGGGGAGATTTCCATACACATGTGAGTGATGAGAGCCTCTGTGATGTATATACATTTATGCAATATATTCTGAATATATTTATAGCAATTTTAGAAGCCAAAACCGCATGCATTACAGAAAACAAAGAAAAGTGTTTTGGAAGCTCACTCCTTCCAACAGGCAGATGGCTTTGGTGTTTCAGGGGTGAAAACAAAAGCGTGATAATACCTTTGCCCAGCTGTGTCAGGCCACAGTACTTCAAATATCAATCTTTGTCAAACACCTTCCATCCATGGAGTATTTAATGCTTGAAAAGTTTGGCTCTCGCCTCCCTGCACGCCAGCCCAACTCACCACAGCACCCTAATAACACAGAGGATTCAGATCTAGATCTCCTGGCTGGCCCTTAGCTTTGAAACGGGCTGGAATCCCAAACCTACATACCAGCAAGCTTTTCTGGAAAGAGAAGACAGAACTCCAAAAATCAGTAGTTTGGGCCAATCTGTGATTAGTTAAATTCCCATAACGTCCCTGGGAAGCTGGAAAGAAGCCCTCTCATGCAGAGGGCAGAAGACGAGAAGCCACATGACTTGCTCCAAGTCCAGCGTATGGCAGGGCCATAAACTGCCCAAAGGCTCTGGACTTTGGTCCTCCTTAGTCTAGGCCATGTTCTGCAGGAAGGTGCAATAGCTCATTCCCATCAATTACCCCAGTGTTACTCTGGATAGTCTTGTCAGCCACTTGATTTAACACTAACAAGAATAAGGAAGATCAGAGCTACATTTGTTGCCTGATGAATGGCAACCGAGTGCTTGCAGAGATGTAAAATCCTCCACAGGGATACAATAGTGCCAGCAACCCCAGCTCTGACCTCCCGTGTTTTTGTAGGGTTACTTCAAACGAGATTTGCTCAATAGTTGCGAGGTTTGTCTGACTGGTGGTGGTGCAGACTACATGTAAAGAAGCGAGCTCAGAAGTACCTTACGTGCCACAGTTCAGGAACCAGGATCCCAGATGGAATCTGGCAGGAGTCACAGTGCAAAAAAATATGTTTATGTCTGAGGCAGTAAAATTCTTGAAGGCCAGGGTAGAAGTCTACTGCTTCAGCACAGCCACTATGGTAGAGAACGATTTCTTTTGCTTAATGATGCCACCCTTCTACAAAGAAGGATTCATTCTGAGCTGTGAATTTTGGGAATCTTCCCTGACACCAGTGGAGTTTGCCAGCATATAAACCGTGTAAGGAACAGAGGTTTCAGACTGGTATTTCTGTATTTGAATTTACTGTATACAGCTAAAGCTATTAAATTTCACAGTGCTCTTCCATAAAGGTTAGTGCTAAACTGAAAGGAAATGCGCCATTTGCAGGAGCTGCAGTGAGTATCTCATTTTTTCGTCTTTGTTTCCTATCGGTCTAGCTCATCTAACTTTTCTTTCCTTTTTAGCATTAGTGGGTATAATTATATCAGGCTTCTGTTAGGGAGAATAAAGATGAAAGCACCACATTCTTATTGTTTTTCAGTGGGTGCGTGAAAAAAATTCTTATAATTTACTCTTGAAGAGTGCCAGTTTGTCACTTATATGGTCAATCAGCCTGCAACTGTTTCAGTTCTGCTTCTTAATTTGTTAAGTGCAAAGAAAGGTATTTTCTTTGATTACATCTGCAAATAAGATATTAATGTCAATTCAGTGATATGAAAATTATTCCCTCACTATGTAATTTGCACCTTAGTTATTATGGGTTTCATGAACATGAATATTATAGCTGCTCAGAATGCTGTGGATTTCTAATTTTTTTTTTAATTAACCAAACTAAAAACAACCCCACCAACATGAGGAAAAAAAAAAGATAATCTGTGCCCAGCTTTTATTTACCTTGGCATAAGTATTAATTCTGGACAGAAGATGAAAATGCTGCTGCTGGCCTAGCACTCTCCTGCAAAGACATTTCACCAAAGGGATGTTATAAGAGGCTAGGATGAAAATGAAAGAGGAAAAAAAAAATGATTACTTTTTGGAATAGCACAGAGAAGGGTTTTAATACCTTCTTTTAGCTTTCTTAAGATACAAACTGAACAACAGCATGTATTTAGGAGGATCCTTTTTGCTGTTGCTGAAATAAGATCCTTAATTTTTTTAATGAGAACTCCAGATCACGCACGTTAACACCAGAGAAATGTATATCCCAAGGCTTGATTCAATCCCTGTTATAGTTGAAGGAAAATCCTCCCTTTGCAATAAACAGGAGATGGAACAAGACTCTATTGCTTAAACGTCTACCCAGAAACCAACACTGCCAGTAGTCCCACTAGACTGGGGTGTGTGAAAGAGTGGCATAAGATTTTTTTGAGCATCGCTTTGCACTGCAGTTCTATGTAGTCTTTTTTTTTTAACCACTGGGATTTTAAAAATGTGTTTCCAGCCCCACATCCTTGAAAGACCTTCTCAACGGACATGATCAGCTTATACCGCTGGTAAATCAAAAGCACATTCTGTGTGTGTAGTGTGTGTAGTGTACAGTGTGTGCAAGCTCATATCTTTCTGTGCTTGCTCATACATTGTGGATTGGAAGCATCACTACTGAATAAATTTATGCAATAGCAAAATACAATTTCATAAGAAAAAGAAAATCTCTATTGAACTGGAAGGGAATGGAGACAAGTAAGGGCCTAAGAAAAAAACAAATCTGTATCCCAAGGATGCAAGGTCACACCTACACTCTCAGGTGCAGTGCAGTTGAAGTGGCATTGTCTGTGTTGTGATGAGAGGAGTGCTGGGTCTGCTCTCAACACCTTCAAGGGCAGTGGAGCTACTTCTGCTGGTGATGCAGATCCTACTGAAGTCAAAGGGAAGTTCCCCTGGACTTCAATGAGAGCTGGTCAGGTTCTCAAACTAACTTGGGAGAGAGAACTAGCTCAGCCATCTCTCACCTTCTACCTTCATGTACTTCTTAAGAGACAGGAACCAAACACAAGTATAGTTAGGACCATGTCCAGACCTCCTTCTACAGGCAGATAACTTAGGTGCTGTGACCACTTATCTCCATCAGCTGCAGAGGCAGCAGTGGTCTGACTCACTCACCACCCTCCTGAAAAGTCACATCTAAATCAGGTGCCTGTCATGGGCAGTCTGAACACGGCCTCTCTGAAACTGCCCTCTTGTTCCAAGGCCTTCCAGTTTTACTTTTTTTTTTTTTTTTTTAAAAAAAAAACACAGAGATTCAGACCCTAGGCTGGAAAGAAATCATGCAAAGCTTGTGCAATATCCCCCAACAGGCATCCTGGGGAGGGTCACAGTCGATACTCAGAGATCAGTGCTGGCCTTGGCAGTTAGAGCCTGGATCCGAGCAGAGTTGCAGGTCTTGCAAAGGATGTGCCCGTCCAGAGGGTAACAGCCCTGATTGTCCCCTTCAGACAGGAGGCCGCCACAGTCCTAGAAAAGAGGTAGACAGAAAGGGGGAAGTAAATGAGAAAGAAGAACAAGATTAATGGAAGAATCTATTAGTCAAAGAAATTCTCTCCTCGCTCTCCACCTTGTAACAGGATCCAGCCTGAGTCAGCGTAAAGCATGAAGCTGAGGTACGTGATGTCTTTCATGATTAAGCCATTTCCTGATAAGAGACAATGCTGCAGAGAAGATGGGTTCCCAAGCTCTCTGCTGAATTTAATCCAATTGAAAATAAAAGGAGATTATTCCCTTCACATTTCTGAGGAAGGAAAAGTCTTTAGCATCAGAGAAAACATCAAACTTAAGCACATATTTATTAATGCAAAAAAGGATAAAAAAGCAGCATCCCTGGGGAAGGAAGTTTGGTACCAATATCAGACTACAGGTAATCTCCTTCAGAAGAGTTAATGCCACAAAGATATAGCATCCATTCCAGGGGTGACAGCTAAGCAAACTCCCTGTCTGTCTCCCTTTACCAGAACTGTCACCTGTGTTTGTATTGCAATTGGCCAAAAGGTTGTGGCTGAAAGGAGGGTGTCACTGAGACAGGCACATGGAAGCCCCACTTAAAAGGCCCAAAACCTGCTCCAGAGACCTCAGCCTCCAAGTATGCAGGGCTAAGTTTAGCTGCTAGGAAAGTTGGGAATTATCCCTCACTGGGTGATCAGGCAATCACTTGGCCAAAGACTACTGATGGAGCTGTGGTGAAGGGATTATGGCTTGCTTAGAGGCCATGCCTCTTTGTCATAAACCTGTGTTTGTAAATACACCTGGCATGCAAGTGGTGGACAGAGGAACATAATTCTTGTTTCTTTTGAGAGAGTTGAGGCACACAGAGATCAAAGCTGAGTGAGTGTCTGTGCCCTGGGCTCCCACTGCATCTACTTCTGACGTTCATGTGCGTGAAGCCTAGGTATCTCAGCAGCCAGCATGGGCTCTACACAATTTAGTATAGGAATGTCCTAGAGTCTTTAAAAAATTGGGCCTAAGTAATGGGCTGATATGTACCCTGGAAGCCAAGGTCAGATTGAGAAGTGAACCAGATGCCTCACATCTCAGCCTAGACCTTTAAGCCTTAGTCCATCCTTCTTTCTGGTTAAAGTTACTAAAGCCTGCAACTGTGATAAGAAATACATTTGGTGTCATTTTCTTACCCTGCCATCTGGCTGATGTATTATCCAACAAATAACGCTTGCATTGAAGAATTCTTGAAGGTTCCCTAACACAGCTGTTCCCACATGTTAATTGCTTTAAGGTGATTTTTCTTCTCTGTCTTCAGATTCTTACCATCAAAATTATATGAAGTGCATAATGAAACTGAACAGGAAAGTACCACAAAAAGCATTGCACAGAACAAGAATGATCATGTTTATGTGTCCATTAAAATTCTTCAACCCAGAGCCATATGTTGAGTTTCCTGTACAATCTTGCTCAAATTCTAATACGCATTAGCTTTCATTTTAAGACCATAAACATGAGCAACGTTTGTGTCCAAGCTATAATTTACGATGTTCTCAAATATTAAGCTCTAATTACCTGAGTCACATTCTCTTGCTCTCCTAATGAACCTGTTATAAACAAGGGACCTGATTTTCTTCTCATTTGCGCCAATATAAATGAGGAAAAATTCCTCGCATGCTGAAGTCAATGAAGTAATTTGATTGTAGAGCCAGTGTTACAATAGGGTATGCCTGTCGTGTGTATAACACGAGGCAGTGATGAAATTAAGCCAACCTTTGCTTTCTGTCCTTCACATGATTAGAATACTAACCTCACACCGGTAGCACTGGACATGGAAGTCACGATCCAAGGCGACAATGCGTACAGTCTCCTCTTGTCCTGGGGCCGGCATGATGGGCTCCTTACACACTGAACATCTCGGTGCAAATTTCCTGGAGAAAGAAGAGACTGTCCCAGTCATTCTCAAACTCAGAGTGAAAGTTTTTGTTAGCTGCAGCAGCAAGCCAGAAATGTGTGCATTTGTACAAACACACACACGTATATGTACACATGTGTCATGGTTTGCAGCTTTGCACAGCTGCCTCCTTGGAAAGAAGACAGGAAGGAGCACTTTGGTCTTACAATGCAACTTCACGCTTGCAGGCTATTAAAAAGCATTTTGCAGACTGTTAGGAGAGGACTTCAAGAATATCTGACAGGCAGCAAAGCATATTCTGCTTGCCCTAATTAACAACTAAAGTGCCTGTTGAATGACCCACAATCGTTGGCACCTATGCACTGCTGCAGCCCCCAGCCTAACTCTAAGAAAGTCCATGCAATTCCTAAGGTTAGAAAGATGACTAGGATCTGCTTCAAGAGCATCTCTTGAAATAAATATAAAAATATTAAAAATTGGAGCTTGGAACAAATAGGTGAAAAGTCTTAATAGAGATAGTAAAACGATTTGCCTTACACTACGCTAATTTGTTGAGGTTTATCCCATCCATTTTAAACTTCTGAGCCATCTTACCCACTTATGCACACAGGAGCATGCTCCTGGCTGTGCTCGCTCTCAAACAAGAAGCCTCAGGGCAATTTTGACTAGCTGCATTTTCTAGCTAAAACCAACTCTCAGTTACCTATTAGTGGGTTGCCCAGGCTTAAAAGGGAACAGGTCTGGGTGCAGAGACACCGACACTCTCTCTTCCACAGTCAGCCTGAGTCAGAGTTGTATGGTGACAACCATTTGCTGCATGAAGGGACCTGGCTTAGTCAGGTCAGGGATCAAGAGGAGCACAGACCTTTCTTTTTCCCCTTGTAGTGCCCACTGTATGCCTGTCTGCCTAATTCACATATGTTCTGCATTAGCTCTGGTTTTGCTCCCCCCAGTTACCCATGAGAAGTGACCATCTCTGCTCCCAAGCAGGTGGAGATGCTTGAGAACATTTAGCCTATGCTGAATCATTATTTGCTGTTTTGGTTCAAAACCTACGGGTACCAATTCCCTGGCTGGAAATTCTGCTCACAAAAAAAGAAACTTGTACCTACAGAATCTGCTGCCATGTAATGTGAGCCGGGGTCACAGCCTATGGAGTGACAGAGGGCAATGCTTATGGCAAACATCAGAACATGAGGAGATCAAAGGCCCTTCTCTTCTGAAATGCCTAGGAAAGATTGGCTCTGCCACCCAGCCTGTCACATGAACCACCTCAGAATTAACTAGCTTAGAAAAGAAAAAAAAAAAAAAAATCTATCTGTCCTAGGAATAAAGAAAAATATTAATTTCACTGTCAGCAGATGAAAGATGTCTGTATAGCTGCGATCTAACGAAAAAATGAATTAAACAGTGGCTATAGTGAGTGCTCTGAAAAATAACTTAAATGGATCATGATATGACCGGAGCTGTAATCGCAGTTAATTATATGCTGCTTCATGCAAGCGCTTCCTTGTGCCATTTAGCTCAAATGTGATGCTTAAAAGTACTTCAGCATTTCTCTGTCCAGGCCACTGTGGGTAGGTAGTTCATTATGAGCCAAATATTAACTCCCAGGACCCAGAAATGACTCCTGCAGATTTCAGGGGATGTGGATGTGCCACTGTGGGACCCAAGCTCAGGGGGTAGCTAAGGGACAGTGTGAGCATCAGGTTCAGTTCTGTTATCAAGAGGATGCGCAAGATACAGAGCACTCAACCTCCAGACCAGGAGGACATGCCATCCCTGATCAATTAAAACTGGGCTGGCTGAAGTGCTGCTAAACCAGCGGCTGGCCAAAGACATTCCGAGTGTCACATAACAGTTATGCTCCTGCGAGGAGCTGGGAGTTGGACTTTATGATCCTTATGGGTCCCTTCCAACTCAAGATATTCTATGATTCTACGATTAGATCTTGTGCCGTTCCTGCCATCTTCCCCTCGATCTTTCACTCTTGCCCTTTCCTTGGATTGACAGCCTCCTACTTACCACTCTCAAAGCCCTGAGGTCCATGTCCAGTCACTGCCAAAAGCCTTCAACATGGGACATCAGCTCTTGCTCCCAACCTTTCTCCTGAAGGCTTCTGAGGCCTTGGCACATGGGGCTTGGGGAAGGACCAGTCTCCAAATTGTAAGTGGGTATGAGGGAAACCCTTCAGGAGCCCGAGTGGTGCGTAAGCCTTCTGTTGGGCCTGTGCTCGGGACCAAATTTTACCTTACACACAACTGCTGGCACAGAAAAGCAAGGCAACACAGCAGCTGCCAATTAACCCAGCCTATCTGAGCTACAGGGAACATCCTCACATTGGATTTTAACATGCTAGTCGATCATGGCTGCTTCCCTTTCTGTCAAGTCAACCTCCTTCTTTGAGCTTTCAGGCCCACACACTGATGTCACTAGGCTCTAATTAATTCTACCCCCTTAGAAATTAAGAGATAAATGGTTGAGATGTAAACTCACATTTGTCAGTATTGATTTTCTCTTTTAATTGAGGGGTGTAATGTGTCTGTCTTTTCCATACAGGGAAAACATTTGTGCTCTGATTATATCTACCTGTCTTCCCTAGATTACTTGTGATGATGGGGGTGGTTGCGTGGCAGTGACAGAAGCTACTTGCAACTATACCTTTCAACTTACTTTAAATAGCAGTTTCACTATAAATTATTACCAGGGCTGTGTTTTTAGCAGCTTTAAAAAGCTAATTAGCAAGTAGAAACAAGAGGAGCTGTGAGCATCCTGTGGCCACCTAGATCCCTCTAGCTGATAAGCAAACACCTGCAGAGCACAACAGTACAGGACCTCTCTAATTGCTCAGTGGAAGGAGGAGAGAGACGCTGATGTGGAAGCGCAGGTACAGGCAATGAGGAGAAATGTGCACCTGCTGAGTGCAGGGGAAGGTGGGGGGAATGCAGAGCATTTAAAATGGAGAAACACAGAGGTTATCCATAAATTCAGATCTAAGCAAAACTGAGATCAAGCAGCACTGGCCCCTAACCAATTTATCTTGTACGCCATGATATGCCTGCTTGGAGCAAAGCTCTGCCTACTATTTCAGAGCCCTGGGAGGAAATGGCAGAGGGTTCAGGTCTCTTTGGACACTCAGAATACAAAAAAGAAGGATTTTTAGGGACAAAAGAGAAAGACAATAAGCAAAGCCACTGAGAGCAGCTTGGGACATACTTATGGAAATCCTCAATGCAGTGGATATTTCCGCCGGCATCCACAGTGAAGGGGATCCCATCCAGGCTGCGATGGCACATCACGCAGGTGAAGCAGTGGGGATGGTAGGCCTTCCCGGTGGCTCGGAGGATCCTTTCCATGATGGGCTTTGCACAGACGCTGCATTGCTCCAGCGTGTTCTGCAAACAAAACATACACAGCAGATGTGAACGCCATCTCAGCAGGGCATTTACAAACGTCAGTTGGGTTGGAGGCTGCTGCTGGTCTACTTAGAAGCTTTAGGTACTTTCTTTTAATGTCTTCTAGATAAGCACAGTACAGTCAATAACAGGTATGATAACAGCACAGGCACAGGGCTTGAGTCAAGTCTTTAGTATAGTGTGAGAACGCAAACCAGAGGCTATTCTCAGCAATTCTGATAAACCATCAGGTGGGTGTATCCGAGATGTTGCAGCTTCTGTAGCCAAAAAAAGCACACAAGGAAGTTACGGCAGCCTGCACTCCTGGGTTTTTGCCTCCAGACTGCCCAGTCTGAATGACATTTTGCAGCTGAGTTGATGAGAGACAATCTCCACAATGTGCAGTGCAAAGCTGAAGCTCAAACTCCTGGAGCTTGAGACCCTCTAACTGCTCTGTCAGTATAGCTCCCATAAAGGATCTTTATCTGCCTTGTAAGAAAAACTTGATCTACCTCTCCCACCACGGAGACCACTGTTGAGTCTGGGGAGAGAGTAAAGCAGTGTCTGCATGAAAGCATCGCAAGGACAGGAGTTCAGGATGACTTAAACTGTTCATTTATCTCTGGTCCATGATGCTTGAGATTATGACTGTGAAATGCCAGCTCTAAACCCACAATCCTTGCTGCACAGGTTTTACATGCTGGCCTGCTCCTGAAGGGCTGGAGCCAAGCCCCCCCGCCCCGATTTGGCATAGGGTCCACCAAATGATTCATCTCATTTCAACCCTCACTCACTCTTGCAGTTAGTTATAGAAATACCAAGATAATTTTGCTTCAGGTGGTTGTCTGAGCCACACCAGCCCTTTTGACATCAACTGCGCAACTTATCCTTTCAAGCCAAGCACCTGAAAGACACATGTCATGAATGGACAGTGCAACCCACCCAGGTGCAAACAATAAACCTGGGGCAATCATTTGGGTCATTTCACTGGATGTTAGGAAAGCAAACTTCACCTACTACTCTTGCTTGATGCATCTGGAGTTATCAAGTAATGTTATCAACCAGCATTTGAATCTTGGATGAGATAGAAAGTCTATGATTACAATATAGATTATGATCAAGATAGACAGAAATAAGGAAGGGGAGAAAAGAAAAGTAAAAAATCTAATGGGACAGAAATATAAAAAGCTGCTGGAAGGCAGATCATGTTGACAAACACAGGAAGGCTAAAGTTCTTTTGCTTCCTCATGCAACTAAATTCCCAGGGAAAGTAGTGCTTTGACTGACCACATTGTTATTGCTTCTTTGAGCCAATATTCTCAGGGGCAAGATCCAGCCCTTACATGTGCAGCCAAAATGTATTGTCAGGAGATGAATCACCCAGGAGCTCAGAGAGGTTACTTCTACACTCACATATTTGCAATCGGACGTATCTCTGGGCTGCAAATCACTGGTTAGATACAAACATAGAAATGCACAGGTTCATATCAGAAGATCAAAAGGGCTGTTTTTGGAAAGGTCGATATGAAAAGTCCTCCCATATGAGAACTGCCTCACACATTTGTAAAGAGAGCACAGCCAGACTAACGTTGGTTTCAGACAGGATTTTGCTTTATGCCTTGTAATAATGGGCAGGAAAGAATTATTGCTGGCCTTTCTGTCAGGTTGCTGTCACCATCATCATCATTATAACAGTAGCTGGTATGCCAGAAAAAGCAAGGTCAATAATTTTCTCTGTGGAGAAATAACCTGGCAAATTTACCGTTTTGCTTTGCATAAACAGATCACATCATCTCAGTCCATATCCACGCTGTTCTCTGTATTGCCAAGGAAGGAACGCAGCATAGCTGCAGACATCAATGGAAGATTGTGCCACTCGTAAGGCATTTTCTATGACAACTTCTGTACAGGCACAGGTATGGAGTGTTTGCCTCACCAAGTCACTACTTGCTTCGTTTCCAACAGTTGCCAACAACAGAGGCCAAGGTATGAGAACAGGGCAAGCAAAACACAGCAATTCCTTAGGATATGCTCCCAGCCTCCAGTGATTTCTGGCTTAGGGACTTCCTGAGCCAGAGCTTGTCTTCTCCATACTTTGCCTCAAGTGGATGTTTCTCCCACGAACTTTCCTGATCACTTTTTGAATTCTGATAAGCATTGAGCACTCACAACATGGCCAGGAGCCCATGGCTTACCTACACGTTGGGGGCGGATCTGCAAAGCAGTTCCCCTGGTCTGTGACCACTGCCTCTGCAACAGCGCTCCAGACAGCACCGCGGAGCTACTCAGTACTGTGAACAGAGCAGAAACCTACAGCCGCAATCCACTCTGCAAAGGGATTTAACACCAAACAGCATGGCCTGGAAATGCTTTCACTTCAGATCTGATACAACTCCTACTCAGATGTTTCCAACAGACAGAGTTTAAGACCACAAGGGATCATTACAATCATCTTGTCTGACATCTCGCGTTAACGCTGACTTTGGTGGGAGTTTTGCAGTGACCAGGACAGCAGGTAATCACACTGCTGGATTATGCCTTCAGAAAACACATCTTCTGCTCCCAAATCTCAGCTCAGTCACACTGTTTGACATTCTCGCAGCTAAGTAAGACAAGCATTTTAAATTAACCAGCTCCTGATTAAACCTTCTATACAACCTGAAAATCAGACCTGAGAAATTTATTCTTTTCATCCTTCCAAGTCTGTACCAGTGAGGAAAAACAAAGTCATTAGTTGCAGACTCCAGCTCACTCCCTGTCTGGGAGTATATTTGCTTAAGCCTCTTTCCTTGCTAGAACTCTGGCTCAGACCCTTCTCTTCAAGGTGTTACCAGAAAATGCCAAAGGGAAAGCTTCCTTGATTCACACCCATTTGACATCAGGTTGCTGTAAGGCAGGATTTGGCCTGTGGAGCTAACAGGGTTTTCTTTGATTCTTTAATCAGGTTATCCCACACGCCTAAATGCTGCCCCAGCAGCTAACAACCTGCACAAAGGTATTTCTGCACATTATGGGAATAGCATCCCTGTAGGATTATAAATTTGGCTTCATGATTTTGCTCTCTTTCACAGTTTAGCTAACTCTCCTAGCACCTCCTGGAGCTTTCAGGCCTTCAGAAAGCCAATCAAGATGAAGAAAAAACTAACAGACCTGTTTTTCTTTTCTCCCAAGCTACCATTGCCAGCCCTCTCTGTAATAAACAGGTAGAGATGAGTGCCTCTGATGAGCTACACAGAGGGCCAAAGCAAGGCAAGGAGAAGAAAGATAAGAACCAGCAAGGAAACATCAGACCTAGGGGCTGTGGTTAAATTCACATCATAAGAATGTAGACCACGAATCCAGCATGGGCCGAGGGGAAAGTTTACCATCCTTTTCCCATGAGACAAGGAGTGCCCTTCTTTTCTGGAGACACTTGCGTCTCCAAATATAACTAATGTTTTGGGTTTGAAAAGGATGGGGAAGGAACCATCCATTTCTAAATGGAAGGTTGGCTGAATGTTAAAGGCCAAGTCTAGGTCCACGTCACTTGAGGGGAGAACTGCTCATCTGTGGCAAAGAAAAAGAATCCCACTTGAGGAGAATAACGCACCCCAATATGTCAGTAAGAAAAATAATCCCAAGCAAAGATACACTAACACACAAGCAAAGAACAAACGAAATGACAAGGACATCAAGCATCAGCTTGCAAGTAAAAACTAAGAGACTTAAACATGTACAGCACAGTCAGCAGCAAAGTGGGAACAAGCTGCTTGGGAACAAGTATCTGACAGCAAGTGGTGGGGGGGAGCTGTTTGAGGGCCTCCCTGTAGCAATACTTGGCCCTTCAGAAACCACAGAAAGCCAAAGGGAGTTGCTCTGCAGATGTTAGGTTTAAACATGGGACACAAAGTGAAAATCCAAACTGCTGGGAAAGCCTTCTGGGGTGCAAGAGCCATTGAAGACTGGAAGTGGGAAGTGTTTGAATCCCCTCCTGAAAACTTCACCTCCCAGATGGAAATGCTGGCAAATGGCTTCGGTGAGCAGAGCTGCAGTGACAGCCTGTGGGCTGCAGCTCATCCTGCTTCCCCAGTGCCGTAGATCATAACCCCTCATAACGACGTTTTGGGTGACAGCAGTAATTCGCAATACAGTGCGGCACAAGGACCCTCCCACAACAACCTAGCCATGAACGCAGAAGAAAAGCCACACTGAGATTAGTCACTGCTTCTTACGTATTGGCAATTCATCTGGAGCTCTAATGAACATAAATAATCTCTCCTGCACTCTGAACAGCACATCGAGGAGAGCTCACGCACGGGGACATGAGCATGGTATAGTTTATTTTGCTGGGAGAGGGGAGGGAAGTTGCTGGAATAAATTACATTGGCAACTCATACACAGGGACATGAACTCACTTTCCGCGAGCACTGCAGAAGAAATACATGTTTTGGAGGGACTGTGCAGCAGAGATGGTATTAGCTGCGGGAATCAAAAGTGACTGTTGTGCTAAAAACAGGCACATGGTCAACTACTGTAGTTGAACTGTAACTTAGTAAAGTGTGGTAAGAGAATTGCACTCAATCTTGTGACTCCGTCCTTCATTTCCCCAGACTGTGAGGAGAGCAGAGCAGGAGACATTTTCCCCATTGTGGGATAGTTTTTGAGGCTTGAAAATGTTTCCATACTTAAGTGAAGACAGAACACTTTAATCTCAAGAAGCCTGGTGAATTTATAAACCCCAAATTAGATCAGGTCAATTGAAACACTGCACTTCAAATAATTTCAAATGGTTTCATTTAGGTTTTGGGTCTGCAAATATATAGTTGGATTATAAATTAAATATAAAGCAGACATTGGTAGAGGGGTCAAGTGTCAAGATGTAATTTCAACACTTTCAAAACCTTTTTTTTGGCATTATTTCTAGAAAAGGAAAATCCAAGACCTGATTTCCCCCCCAAAAATCCCCAGCCACTCCCAATTGCTATCTCCACAGATGGGTAAATCTTGGTAAACACAACATT